TTCCCAAGTTCCACCTCAAGTTGCGCCAGATGCGAGTCTAGCCGTAGCGTGCGTCCGTTGTACGTAGCCAGGGTCAGTCGGTTGTGGTGGCCTCCCGTAGCCCGGAGATTCTTCGCACCCCCTGCCCCGCCTTTACCGAGGTCGCCACCATGACCAGGAATAGCGGGGCCGCCGGGAACTGGGGGCCGTGGCCTTTGTTGCGTCTGCATGGGAGGGGTTTGCCCATAATCGCCACGCTGGGCAGGCGGGTTGGCGATCGCAGGGCGTAGCTTGTCGCACCGGTAACGCTGCTGCCCGTCACCGGCCTGTTGTATTTAGCTACGCCTATTGGGATGGATATACCGCCATCGGTCGGTCGCCAGAGCCTCGTTCGTCGTTCAGCAGGATGCACCGCGGGCAGGTGAGGTTGGCTTGGGGCGAAAGATGGTGGTTCGCCCCTCACACCCCCAATCAATCAAACATATTACAGATAAATTACACCCAGACAAAAAACAATTGATCGTGCTCATCACACAATTATTTGTCCTAGGTGGAAATCGAACCCACGACCTCTGGCTCAGTAATCAGGGTCATAAACCACTAGACCAACAGGCGTTGATAAAAGTTGAAATCAACTGATATCACGGGTAAGGTTGGTTAAAGGTGTGTTTTATCACCAAATGTTAGTTACTTTTGTTAATTTTCATCACAACATTACATATTACGTTCATTTTAATAAAAGCATTACTCATAATGAAGGTCACAGAGATACCGAAATACTTCCTTATATTTACGATAGTTACTGCTTAATCTTTATTTTATCATTCTGTAATAAACACATACACTATATTATCGATAAATATTTAGTGTGTCGCCACATTGTTTGGTGTAACGGAGTAAATACCCAAATTTCAATCACATATTCCATAGATAATTTGATCGGGTCTCAGAAAAAGGACGTTATCGTAAACTAAACTGTGCTAAGACCATGCACAGTTATGCTATCAGATGCTTCGCGACCACCCTAGGGATGTGACTTTTCAAGTGTAGTATAAGTGCGATTGAGTTACAATTCTCGATGTGTGAAGTTATTTTTATTATTATTATTACTATTTTTTAAAAAGAAATGCCCACTTTTAATGTTCTGGCGTACTGCCTTCATTAACAATTATGTGTTTTATAACTATTTGGTTTTTGCTACTGGTCACTCCTTTTTTTTTTTTTTTTTTCCGTGCGGAAATCCCCTCGGATACCACCTGTCGGTGGCATGTCGGACTCGACCGACTAAAACCGCACGCCTTCGCCGGGTACTAATAGCCGGGGAACCAGGTATACCCTAGAAAGGAAGTCCCTGGTGCTTAATTTTGTCGACGCTATTATGCTCTTGGGCAGTTATTAATACAATAGTTTTAGTCAATAATATGTAATGTCTATTTCTTGCGTAGCCCCCATTCCGCTCGATGGCCTCTTTGAGGCTGCGCTTGACACTTGACGTGTTCAATGACAACACATCTATTTGTCTAGTCATTATATATTTATACACATGTTCGTAAAGTAAACAACAATTTAAAAAGTGATTTATCAAATAGTGAACTAAAACAACTAAATTGTAGAAATAAAAAAATATATGTGGACTTTACACTTATAATAACCAATGTATAAATTTGGCCACTATTCAATACATTCAATGATTCTGAATACCTTAAAAACCTATGGATCATTGTCAACGAATCTAACTTCAAGTATTAGCATTTTTAGCAATGTTTTTTATGAAGTAGCAGAATGCTGAGCTAAGGAACATGGTCCGGATATCTTAATATCAGCTGTTCCCAGACCCGTCCAGACCCTATGATAAATCAATGATACAGTCTTTAGCGGCCATTAATATTTCCGCACGGAAAAAAAAAGGGGCCATTAATAATTACGTAAGGATGATGTTGCCGATTTTGACCCTTCTTACCCCCATAAAGGATACGTAATATTTCTCAAACTCCCACCCTCTTCTTATGTAAGATTCAATCTCGCTTTTCTGAATAATAAAACGTTGTTAGAAAAGTAAGTTTTTAAATAATCTTGATGTAAACTTGATGTGATAAATGAATTATTAAACAATCTTTAAACGAATAACACTTTTAAAATAATTATCGACTAGTTTCAAAATTCTCTTAAAGAAAATGAATTTCACAGTGAAATACTACTAATACGCGGGAAGAATTCACTATGATATAATTATTATTTATGTCATTTAAAATTAAAAATATTGTAAAATAAGATGTAAATCGAAGTGCACATTATGGAATTAAGAAAATCATTCAGCACCCAAATAGAATAGATTTTTAATAATAATTTTCTACTTGTAAAATATTACGTAAGAATTGGTTTTACCCCCCCTGCCCCCAAGATAAGGTCATGTATAGATTTTCTTAAGCCCTGGGCACCCATATGTAAAATAATAAATAAATGGCCCCTTACTGCGCTTTGAAGAAGAAGAAGAATTACACATTGTTTACTACACAATTATTTGGTACATTTAAGTTATTGATTATAATCAATAACACAGTTAAACAAACAATACCTATTAAGCAACCAGTCCTTTCAAAAGATGTTACATATTTATAAATTTTATTGACTCTGAATTTTTGAACTGTAACAATACTTCATTTTACTTTTAGAATGTCAAAATCAGTTACTGCTTTCTTTATGAAAATTATATTTTATTCAAACAACATTTTTAAAACCAAAATGAGAGAATTGATACCTTTGACACCTAAATGGCTGTCACCAAGTTAATATTATTTAGTATTTATTCATTCAAACCTATCTAAACAATTAAAAACAAAGTCCTCTTTATGTGGAATAGGGCATAGATAATTACAATAATAATGTAATTGTTTACATTATTATCTAGCACAAAACAAAATAGGGGCCACCCATAAACTCTCATAAACAAACATTACTCTTGTTTAATGTTTGTAACAATGTGTAAATGTTTAATTATGAGTTCCTTGAAGGGTCTCAATTTCTAGTAAAAAATTATATCAAGTGGGTACTTGTATTTTTTTATCCCTTCTTTTTTTTAAATTAGTAATAGTAATCTTTATTATAGATCATAGGTACATTATATAACTGTTCTAAATTCTTACTCGAAAATAGTGTTTTTGAACATTCAATATCAAAATTTTCTTTTTTTATGGAAGAGAGGGTAGACGATCAGACGGGTCAGCTGATGGAAAGTGACTACCGCCACACAGAACCACCTTCAGAAGTCACCGTCACCGCTCAAGACACGAAAATGAACCTGCTTTTTCAGTTATTTTTCATTAAAATTGTTCAAAAATTCTTATATTCAGTTCATTAAATAAATTATTGCCAATTAAACACTATTTCTAATTATTTTAACTTAAAATAATCTATTTTAAATGATTTTCATTACGACTACTAAAAACACTAGGCTTGTTTAGAAAAAAATCACAAAGGTCAGAGCCAGAAAGTAATGATACTTTGTTTTGAGTAGTAACAAAATTAATTAAAAAAACTATTATAAAGTTCCATAAAAAATAATTAAGAGAACTTTATGTAACATTGTAATACATTATATCTACAAAGGTTCTACCCAACAAAAAAAAAATAATAATTTTACATATTTGACACAGCCGTAATCAGTCAAATAAATAAATCAATGCAGAGCCTGTACTATGGTAACTAGACTGCTGATAAACATACTTATATATTTCTAAATACTATAGATAAAGTACACCCTGACACATAAAAAATGCTAATCACTCAAATATTTTTCCTGGTGGAATCAAACCCACAACCTCTGGATAGCTGTCAGAGTCACTAACTACTAGACCAACAGGCCAGTCTTATCTGCCTTTAAATTTTTTGTCAAAGATTATACTTTTTTATACTGTTTAATAGCCAAAATAACTACAATAAAAATAATGAATAATCTATTTATTATGTTGACATATTAAAAAAATTGACTTGGTACTAAAAAAACATTAGCCAACAAATTTTAAATTTATTAATCAAAAACTAATAAATATTTATAGTGATGGTTCATGACTTGATTGAGAAAATTTACTATAATTGTCAAATATAAGACAAGTATAAGTGTTCAAAATTTTCTATAATTGTCATCTGTATCATAATAGGTCAGCATTCATTACAATCTCAGCAATGTCATTGTAAAAGCATTCTCAAGAAAAATAATTAAAGATTAGTATTAATTTAAACTCAAAAAAAATCTTGGATTTGCTATCAATTTGACATTGAAAGCCTTTCCAATGAGCTTTACTTCTTGGCATTATTTTAGAAGTTTAAGCTTATTAATAGATATATTAAAATAGACAAGAGAAGCAGTCTTGCACATAGTAATAAATATTTAATCTATTTGGAAGACCTGAGATTCAGATTAATACAGAATTATTTGCAGCTGTTAGGCTGACACAATAAACATCCCAGACCTTGGCTGAAATTCACAATTAGTGTTCACAGTTTACAAGGTCTATTTACATATACATATATTTATATATATATACTTATATGTCATGAAAAATAATATCACAGTCACATGACTACAGACAAAAAATAAAAAGGTACTTATATACATAAATATAATGCATATTACATAATTGCGACCGGAACTGGCAGGTTTACGCAACATAGAACTAGCTCCAAGCAGTACCCGCTAAGGCACTTGGCACGCGTTTTGTGTAAAAACATTGTATTCACAATTCACATGTTTTCAAACAAATTTTGGCGCGCGGCCAACTTTAGAAAATGTTCAGATATCTGTATTAGAGACTCGAAACATGATAACGTACAACAAACATTGAAAACACTTTTAATTCAATTAATAACTAAAAATTAATAACCACTGTTAGTGCTAGTTAACCTCAAATCATAGCCGTAAACACTAAAAATATAGTTCCATGTGAAAAGAGTTTATGTTCGTATCGGTTGTAACAGAATGCTTATAATTTAAATTATAGTGAGAAAATTATAAGTATACAAACCTGGCAACGGCAAACGATGTCACAATGTACAGCTAATAAATCCACCACTTTTCCTTTTCCCTCATCACCCCATTGACCACCCAAAACAACCGCGACTTTATTTTGCATGTTAGAGTTCGTGCACGGACTCGATGCGTCTCCGTTGATGGTGATTTGCTTCGAAAATGTCGTCGAAGCCATTATTTACAGCAAACTTCTGCGTTTTATAGGATAGAGCGAGACATGCGCGCGCCGGGTTCGCAGTTGCAAAAAGGTATCTGTGATGCCATACTCCATAACGAAAATTACCTCTGATTAGTTGTAATTTATTTTATTACCTCAATATTTTTGAAATTTTGTGAAGTTCCTTATCGCGCGATACACGCTCTGAGCGGATAGGAGCAAGACTTTTTTCCGACAGTTATTGCTATAGTTACAGCCGTGTATGACACGTCTGCCAAAAAACGAAAGGAACTTCGTTCCGACCAGGGGTCTCAACCCAGGTCTCAGACCCCTTGAGTTTTTGATGTCACTTGGTTGACCGGCTGATTTGTTTTATTTCTTACTGACTTTCTTTACCAAACGAAGGATATTTTTTTCATTCATAACAACAACCTTAGAAAAGAATAGAAGAATAGTCAAAATAAATTTTGTTTAATAGCAAATTGTAGCAATCAGGTGTACTTTTGTTCTGTCTTGTACAGTTTTACTAATTGTTGTCGGTAGGAACGACTTTCAAATTAAACAACTTTTGAAATGAAAAGACAACCAAAAGTCCCAAAATCTTGGGAATTTTTAAAAAATTAGCATCACTGGAACTGTCTTTTGTTGTTTTACATGAATGACAGTTACTTGTTTATGCAACTGGCTTTGGTTTTTGTTACGTAATCTTATTAGAAAGAACCTGAATAGTAGGCAAATATTTGAGGGAGTAAAAGATAATTTTTATACCTTTTTACCTGTGTAAAAGTTATTTTTCAGTTATAACATGTTAGTGTAGTGTAGTAACACTTGAATTAATACTGTAAATAATTAAAACTTTATTATACTTTTGTGTTTTTTCTTTGTATTATAATTTACGACTAAATACATAGGAAAGAAACATGAGACGCACATTACTCTTCTTTCATTAATTTAATCAATCGTAAAAGACGTTAAAGCGTTCTTACTAAATGTGTAAAGGTACTTGCACTATTCAATCACTATTTTTTTGGTAGATGATTCTTATTTTATCTAATTTAAGAACTAAAATGTAAGAAAATATTTTAATGGGTAATTTCCGAAGCTATTTTGAACAATTCTGTATTATTCTTATCCAAATAAAGGTTACGGTAGGTACGTTGTGCAGCCCCTGGATAAGACGGAGGCCCTATTATTTCATGGGCCCCGTCGTGGTCCACCCGCCGGCGCCTCAATCGAGGTCGGCTCGGTACTCGTACCGATCTGGGCCCAGATGAGGTACCTGGGTCTGGTCCTAGACGGTAGGTGGCTCTTCGACGAGCACTTCCGACAGCTTGGTCCGAAGCTGGTGGAGAGCCCTAGAGCGACTTTTGCCCAATTTGGGCGGGGCCAGTGTTCCCACGAGGCGGCTGTACGCGGGGGTTGTCCGGTCCATGGCGCTGTATGGTGCACCGGTGTGGGCGCCGGGCGCCCCCAGAGGATATTGGCGGTCAGAGCCATACGCGGATACCGCACGGTGTCCACCGAGGCGGCTTGCGCCTTGGCCGGAACACCCCCGTGGGATTTGGAGGCGGAAGTGCTCGCTGAAGTTTATCGGCGAGTGGCTGACTTGAGCCACCATGGTGAGATGGTCGTTCCGGCTGGAGACTCCACGCGCTGGCTTCGCCGCCGTGGAGGCTCTCCAGCCGGTCATCGCCGAGTGGGCAGGGCGGCAGCACGGGACCCTTTCCTTCCGGCTGACGCAGGTGCTTTCCGGGCACGGTTGCTTCGGAAAGTACCTGTACTCGGTCGCTAGGAGGGAATCGAGTCCCGCCTGCCACCACTGCGACTGCGGTGAGGATTCGGCCCAGCACACGCTGGCGGTTTGCCCCGCGTGGGCGACGCAGCGCCGGGCCCTCACTGCAGTCATCAGATCGGATCTCTCGCTCCCTGCCGTAATTCGCTCCATGGCCGGTAGCGACAGTGTTTTTACCGCGGTCGCAACCTTCTGCGAGGAGGTAATCTCACAGAAGGAGGCGGCGGAGAAGGCCCGGGAGGACGATCTCCACTCGGACCCGATCCGCCGCCGGCGAACCGGGCGGAGGACGCGCGCTCACCTGCGCCTCATGCGCCTGAGTGTGGCCGCGGGTGGACGGGATGGGTTCTCCCCTCCACCCGCATTAGTTTGGCCAGCCGCGAGGGGGCGGCGTCCGCGTGTGCCGGACGTCGCCTAAAGAGAGGAAAACTTTGAGACGGAGCCCGCACCAGGAGCGGGCCGGCGCTGGGAGGGGTCCAGAAGGCGATAACTACCTGGACCCCCCCCCCTAAACTGGAAGCGCAAAGAGGGCACACCGTGTGGTTCAAGACCGACACACCGCCCCGCCGAACGAGAGCCCCGGTGGGGTGACGGTCCGAGGGGATTTCCATACGTTAAAAAAAAAAAAAAAGGTACGTTGTGCAGCCGCGAGGAGGCGACGTCCGCCTGTGCCGGATGTCGCCTAAATAGAGAATGTACCTGAAGGTGGTGCCCGCACCGTTGCGGGCAGGCGCTAGGAGGGGTCCGGAGGTCCTAATAACAGCAGTTCCCGGATCCCTCCTATTACAGGCGCAAAGTGGCACACCGTGTGGTTTTAGTCGGTCCGATTCCGACACACCACCCCGCCGTAAACCCCGGTGGGGTGTTGGCCCGAGAGGGTTTCCACACGTTAAAAAAAAAAAAAGGTACGTTGTGCATAAAATGTAGATTAAAATTGCCTTTTAGAGCATTTCATTGAAATGAATATCTTAGTATATATCAGAGATTTAAATTGCGGGGCCGGCGGCTGCTGTCAAGTCTGGCCGTACGTCTATAAAGGGTAAAAGTCACCGGCAGGAGCGGAGCGGACTTATAAATATTGCATATAGAGATGACTGATAGTATAGTTTTATTATAATAAAAGTATACATAATTAATTACTCCACACTGACACAACAATAGTAGTATGTACATTCACAGAGCGGATCGCTATATAAAATATAAATACAGTAGACTTTCTATAAAAATAAAATCTAATGAAGATGGTAGATTTCGTTGCGTATATGTGGCCGCATGATCACTTTTTTTTTAAAGAAAAAATATACCCTAAAACGTGTGTCAAAATCTGGTACATAATTTGTCCACGGTTGATGGTGTCCTCGTACCTCGTACAGCAAACTACAAAACTCGTATTTGAACGAAGTACTTCATACGGTTGGGAGCTCTGATTGTAAAGTGATGTCTGAGTGTAGTGTTATGTGGGTTGCAGTAGTTTGACATTACTGACAAACAATGTCATATCATAACAGACAAAAAGGTTTGTTTACGACATGTGTTTTATTGATATTATTTTATTTATGTTAATCGGAGTCTCGTACATCTCTATATTTATTTTTGCCTCTATTACAGCTTTCAGCCCTTCTTATTCCTTTAACAGCTTTATCCTCGAATACATGGTATTACATTACATGGTTGCTTGCAATTCTTTGATTAATATCAAGTTGGTTATGCCGTGCGCTAAAACATCTTAAAATACTAAAATTGTAAAATGTAATGTATGTATTGAAGACATTATAAAAAGCTTTTATTTAAAATATAGATCTTTTCTACGTGAACATGTTCATCCCTTAAACAGCCGGTAGGCGCAGAACCTTCACAATGAGAGTTTTGTGCTTTCTTATGATGTATGTGTTCACTGACAAGATTCAAGGTAATGAAGAAGCGGAGGTGGACAGACAAAATGTTCTCGAGAAGGCCCTAAGGACCGGCACTGTGATTTATCCTGATTACCATTTGGTTGCTAGGCAGATAGCTACAGATATCTATACATTTACAAGTTATAAATCAGTTTCTGTAGTGTTCTACCCTATTACAAGAGAAGTCTCTGAAGCACGCTTCACATTTCATTCAACGGAACTTCATTTAAATAACATTGGTAGGTAACATTAACTCTATTCATGAAGTTTTTAATGTTGATGAGTGATCCTAATGAAGATTTTATACATTTTGTGACTGTGTGATTTACTCACAGGACAAGTCTCCTGACAGATTTACCACAATTCTGTTATTTTGGCTTAAAGGAAGCAAGTAGCTAAAAAGTATTATTAATTGAGAGCAATACTGCAGTAAAAAAAGACCATCATCACCATCTTCCTACCCTCTTTCCAAATTTATTTAGCGTTGGTGCATTGAGTCGTCTTCTTCCATTCTTCTTAAACACTCGATGATATCCTCTTTCACACTCTCCTTCATGTGATTGCAAAATGGACTTGGCTTTTTTCTTTGGCCCGCTGTCTGTGTAATGCCAAACCTCCTTGGGAATGTAATTTCTTCATGGTCCTTTTTTTTTGCTGTTGCGTTATGCATATGGTGTAGTGTTACCATTGCAATGTTATATTTATATTATTTAATACAACAAAATTTCTCTGACTGACAACCACTTGATATTTTGACATTGGCTCCCTATTGCTGTCAAGAAGCGTTAGATACCTTTGAATTGTCTGATTGCTGAATCAGTCTCCCTATGTTTGTATGGTTACAGCAAAAAAACTTCAACGAGTATAAGCACTACAATGACTTAAAAATTTAAAATGTTGATGTGTTCTGGATAAGTTTCCTTGACCTTACTATAAGCAATGGCTTTCTGTCAATTGCTATGTAAGTTTCTGATTCGCTGTGCCATGTGTGTTGTACCAGAAATGAATGTTATTCTTTCTACCCCCACCCAACCAGCCCCATAAATATACCTGTACAGTGACTCGTTGGTTACTAGATACTGTACTTATGCAGTTACTAGATCTCAATAGACCAATTAACACAGCTATAATATATTTATAGCTATTGTACTTATGTAGTAAGTATGGGAGCCTTAATTTTCATGAGCAGATGGAAATGCAACAATTATTAAGATTGAGGACAGGTATTATTATCATGTAGCATGTTATTTTATGAATGTTGTGATGGTAACTAGGGTCATCTCAATCACCATCATATGCACGTTAAGACCACTCCCACTGCGTTCGTTTGTTATTATGTTCGAATGTTAAATAATAAAAAGTAACAAAACAAGTCCCAACTTGGGACATTAAAATACTACCTGTTCCTTTCAATTTTTTTTTCGCTAATTGCCCGGATACTATTTTACCTTATAATATATTATCTTTTGCCGCGGCTCTCCCCGCGTGTATGTCGGTTTTCGCAGTAAACGGACGGTTTCGGACTCAAACTATCTCTATACCAAATTTAATCTAAATCGCTTCAGCGGTTTCAGCGTGAAGAGGTAACAGACAGACAGATAGACACACTCGCATTTATAATATTAGTATGGATTCCGTACTTTACTTACTTACGACGCACGGACGCTTCAATCGAGTCGCATCGGTCGTAGTCATGGGTGGACTGGTAAGAAACCAGAATGCCACTGTGGGAAGATACACGTATCGAGCGGGAAAAGGATATGTGAAAGGTAAACCTGCAGACTGCATTTTCAGACTTAAACTTGGGGTTCGATATTTGCACGATACTAGCAATTATCGAACCCTCAGTTTAAATTTGCATGATACGAGGGCTGCTATTTATGTATCCGGAGTAATAAAGTGAAACAATCACATAGCATTTATTACAGTTTTATTGGTTTTCAAAAATTCGCCGTGATGATCGATGCACTTTTGCAAATGTTGGAACCAATGTTCGTAGCACTTTTTCCATTCTGATTGGGGTATCTCTAAACTCTGGGGTAACTCCTGTCATTTTGAACGCATCAACAGCCTCTTTACGGCTCGAAAAACGTTGACCACGTAATTTATTCTTTACGGTTGGGAATAAATAGAAGTTGTTGGGGGCCAAGTGAGGGCTGTACGGTGGATGACCCGTTAATTCGATCTTTTGATCTTCCAAATACTAAGATGTTTTAGTCGATGTATGGCATTGTCTGCACTGTCATGATGAAGAAGGATTCTGCGTTATCGGTTATTCTATCTTATTTCTTTAAAGACTTCTGGCAAACAAATGGTCGGGTACCATTCATAATTAACCGTTTTACGATCCTCTAGTGGCACTGTGTGCACCACATGTCCATTCATATCAAAGAAACAGATTTTTGAACGAATGATTTTGTTGGTTTCGGCTCATCTTGGAACACCCAAACCGTTGATTATTGTTTAGTTTCAGGATTATACGCATACGTATATGCAAGATGCCTGTGCAGATATTATGGACAGCTTTTGACGCACCCTGATTGTACTTTTGTTTAACAAATGTTAACAATTCCTGCCTGAGATTGAGATCATATTCTGAGTATATTACAGGATCATGCAGCCCAAACGAAGTAATAGTCAATTTGAAGTACGGCACGTACCCAGCTGTAAATCCTGACGGTTACAACTTCCCGAAGGATTTCATTGAAATGACTCGAAGGGAGCGAGTCCACACATTAGGATTTCTGTCCGATGGAAAAAACGTTAGTTATACGATAGAAAATCCTAAGCCAGGGATCTGGTATTCATTGAGCTATATAAAATGGGAGGATCCCAAGACCCAGAAAATTGTGCAGCAAGGTACGATTGCATATTTCTACATGTAAAAGTGTAGCGTATTTTAGACTGAGTTACAGAAAATGTATGGGTATGCAAGGTAGTGCATAATTAAGTGTCCTTTTTTTTCAAAGTTAAAGAAAACTGTACGAGTACAGCGTAGGACTTCGGAAGAAAGGACCATAGTTTTTACTATATTTCTAAATTACAGGTTTTGATGCGGACTGCCAAACTATACTATACTCAGATTTACAAGTAAAACTCGAAGAGAATATAGTACAAATTGATTGTTACTCAGACATAGCGATAGAGTATTATGTGTTGCCAGTCCTCTTCAAGTGTATGTCAATAATGTCAGGGGATGCAATCAGTTTAAATGTCAAAACCACAGATAACCGAAAGCAGTACATTGGCGTCGATGCTTTGTCTATTCCTTCAGAAGATAATAATATCGTATATTGCTCTTTAGAAATGAAAGCTAGTATTCAAGTGATCACATTCATTCCCCATCCAGCAGTCTGGCACTATATTCAAATAGGAAATATCGAAGGTGATGTTTCAAGACTACCAGACTGCCAATCTAATTACGCCAGGTCTGATGACGACGAGTTTACCAATCACACAGTAATCGACCTCACGCGTGTTGATAAGGGGCGTTTTTTTTCATTCGATTATAGTCTGCCTTCTAGTGATCCGTACAACGAGATAAATACTATTAAAATAAATTCCTCTGAAATAAAGTCATTGAGATTTAAAATTAACCAGTTCGTGGATATTGGAGGCAGTCTTTTAATATCAGCGAGCCTTTTGATGAATTTGAGGTACTACGTGAGGTATAGAAGAGACTTAGAGAAGCAATCTCTGTTAGCTTTCACTCATGACAAACAGTTCTTCAACGTCGTGATATGTATGGATATTGGTCATCCGAGCATTCCATTGCGTACTGGTCAATGCAAATACAACGATAAATTGACACCGGCATTGTTTGTTTTGAACAGTATAGACTCGGAGTCTATTTATGACAAGACGTATATTCCATTTCCGGAAAGTGGGATGTGGTATTTGACTTTGAAGATATTCTGTGACGCAGCAGCAGGTCCGTGTAGGTCAGTTGAAAACCGGTCAATGAACTACGTCGATATGTCTGTGGATAAAGAAGAAGGTTCTAGTGTCATTACCTCGGAGGACAATTATACTACTTGTATAGGTACTTCAGAGTGCAGTGCGACAATGGTGCTGGTTGTATCGTCAATGTCCTGTGTGAACAGTAGGTGCAGTAATAACGGTGATTGTCGGCTGCACGGTTTCGGAGGACTGGTTATGTCTTTTTGTTCCTGCAAAGATGGTTATGGAAGTAAGTCGAAAAGTTATTAAACAAATTATAATACATAGTATAATTTAAAGCAGGAATAGCGCTGGCTGTTCGAGCGACCGCGTACATTGCCATTTACGCTGCCCTTTTTTTCGGAACTCTGCCACCGGACGACCGGTGGGGTGCTTATGTGTAACTCGAACATATTAAAATCCGCCATCTCGGGTACCAGTAGCAGTAGTAGTTTATGTTTATGCATTAAAGTGGGAAAACCTACTTGGGATTGTAAAAGTTTTTTAATGGACAAATGAAAAAGGTATGTTGGGCTCAAGTAAATATCGATAAGTTTGCTTTTCAGATCTATTGCACACTTTTCACCTAAATATTTTTTAATGTTTTAAAAAAAAAATGTTTCATTCAGGTTAAATATACATACTCATACATATAATTATGTATGCAGCCATTTCCTAATGAGTAATTTCAGCTATATGTTGCCAATTTTTCAGGTTGGGACTGTTCAGACAATACAAGAATGGATAGCAGGGCCTGCATGCTTACGTCTGTTCTTCTTCTCACTTTAAGTAATCTTGTCTTTGTCCTTTCCATTTACGTAGCTGTCATACGTCTATATTACACGGAAGCCATAATGTACACATTGACCATGTTCTTCTCTACTTTCTACCACGCCTGTGATGCACCAACTCAAGTCGCCTTCTGCATACTACGACGTTACGTTCTTCAGTTTGGCGACTTCTACTGCGCTACGAATTCTTTTTGGCTTACATTAATAGCTATGTGCATCATAAGCGATAGTGTAAGGTCGTTTCTTCAACTAATTGGTGTTATTATTACGGCTCTTTTAATCACGTGGAATATGTTTTCTTTTATGTCCTTCACGTTCCCTGCAGTTGCAGGAGTAATTATTTTAATCATATCCTGGTATTTTGATTACAAAAAACATCGAACACTGAAGTATGCAAGGAGCTATTACGTAGTCTACCTGCCGATAGGTTTAATTTTAATGTTATTTGGTTTTCTTTGCTTTGCTTTTCTGCAAACTGAAGAAAATTATAAAATAATACATTCTATTTGGCATGTGATTGTAGCCTTAGGTATAGTGTTACTTTTACCTGATGTAAGACGCGGTACTAACGTAAATCCATTTAAGCCAAGTTCGAATGATTGGAAGATAAATATTTGCAAATACTTCCGCAAATCTCAGCCATCTCCAGCACCAGTTGAGACTCAAGAAAGATAAAAATCTTGTTAATGCAAAAAGTACAACTATGGATTAGATTTTCCATTTGTGTTTTAAAATTAATTTATGTTTCTTCTATTAGTTTTAAGTGCATAGATATTTTTTTGTTTAACCGTGTTAAAGACAATGTCAGATTTTAGCATTTCTTAGTACTTAAAAAAAGTATACATGTTTAGTTAAAACAGTATATATTGTACAAGGTGCATGGGACGTCGTCCCAGTATAAATTGCTTAGTAATTACTTTTACTTTTACAGCTGCTATTTATGTATCCGGAATAACAAAGTGAAAAAAACATATAGCATTTATTATAGTTTTATTGCTTTTCAAAATAATCGCCGTCACGATCAATGCAGTTTGGATACGTTGGCACCAATTTTCGTAGCACTTTTCCATTCTAATTGTGGAATCTCCAAAACGTGCTTTTTGAACGCATCAACAGCCTTTTCACGACTCGAAAAACGATGACCACGTATTTTTTTTTTAATACAAAGGAATAAATACAAGTCGTTGGGGGCTAAGTAAGGGCTGTACCTACGGCGGATGACCCTTTAATTCGATCTTTTGATCTTCCAAATACTGAGTTGTTTCAGCAGATGTGCGGCATCTAACATTGTTATGATGAAGAAGGATAATTCTTTCTTATTTCCTCAATAACTTTTGGCACAAATGGTCGTTTACCATGCAGAATTAACCGTTTTACGATCCTTTAGCGGCAACGTAGCCACATGTCCATTTATACCAAAAATAACAAGCGCCTATTTGCTTCAAAGTGCTTTATGAACGAATGACTTTTGTCGGCTCATCTTAGAACACTCAAACCGTTGATTGTTGTTGTGTTTCAGAATCATACGCATATATTCAAAATTCATCCCCTGTGTAGAAATAATACACACGTTTTGACGCACCCTGATTGTACTTACATTTTTTTACACCAATCGACACGAGCCCATTTTTGGTCAATTCTCAAGTTTTGCGGCATCCAACGTGAACAATTTGTTTTTACAGCTAAAAGTTCGTATAATATATTATATATACTCGTCATACTTATTCCCAGAGACGCCTCTATCTTGCGATATGTAACATGACGATTTTGCATTGTTAGTTCCCGCTCAGCATCAATATTTTGAGGTACAACAACCGATTTAAATTCGTCCCTGACCACAGACCGCCCTCGGTTAAACTGTCTAAACCACTGAAACACAGTTGTTTTTTATGGTGCTTCGTCCCCAAAAGTCGATATGAGTTTATCGATGCACTGTTTTTAAGTTAGACCTCGACGAAAATCGTAACAAATCATAGCACGAAAATTTTCACGAGTTAAATCCATAGTCATGAAGGATAAACAAATGACAGCTGAAAATACACAAAACAAATTGTATTCTTCAGCCACATAGTTCTTTTTTTAAATGTCATAATTACTTTTTTTATTGTTCTGTAACTGGCCAGTTCCGGATACATAAATGGCAGCCCTCGTAGCATGAAATAAAGTGGCATTTTTGTGTTGGACGCTTAGATCTTTTAAACTAAGCAATGGATTTTCATGCGGCTTTCACCAATAGAGACAGTAATTCAAGAGGAAAGCTTAGTTTTTAATGTATAATACATGTATATTATAGAAAATCTCAGAATTTCAGAGATTTGTCATAAAAAAACATGGTTTTAGGCGCTTACATTGCAAACGCTGACTAACACTTACTAGATAGACCAAAAAAATGTAGTACGAAATTGTACATCTTAAAAAGATCTACAAAAAAGTCCGCGATGGTATATGTCTATCTATTAAGGATAACCATCAGTGACTATTTTTATCTTTTAATTATTACAAATGAGTAATGTGTTATTTAGGAAGCTATATTAAACAATACAAAATTCCTTATCGTATTGGCCATACTACCAATACTACTAATGTGGCGTCAGTGTGCAATTAATTGTATTATTATTATGATGGACGGACTTCCGGCTGGGTCGGCGCGGGCCTATAAATAATGCATTTAAAGATGTCCTGTAGTATAGTCCTATCATAATAATAGTACAATTAATTCCACACTGACGCCACATTAGTAGTATGTATATTGCACCCGTGCGAAGCCGAGGCGGATCGCTAGTAATGTATAGAGGAAGTAAAAAATAGATATATTGCCATCAAGATGAACGAGTACCTAGTGCTTATATTACGAGTATGTACAGTGAATGCAGGGATACGAGCTAAGTTGATCAGAGGGACAATTCACAAGTGCCAGGTGAAAAAGGTAAAGAAATAGGGCTAACTTAACTTTAATTCTAATGATTATTTTTACTATATGTCGCACCTTTAATAATAAACTGAATTAATTCAAAATTTACGTTTTTCGAGTTTTCAACAAATACCAAATCAACTTCATCAGTAGAACACGAACAATCCAACAGCCGACTCGATACCATGAAAATGGCAGAGATAAGAGATCGTCGTTCTCTTTTTGACGAACTCGCACGTACATGAATGTCAAACTTTAAATGCGATTTCCGACAATATTGAAATTCTAAGTTAATTCAGTTTATGAATAAAGGTGCGATGTGTAAAAAAAAAACCGGGCTGCTTTCACCTGTGAATTGACCGTCTAATCAACTCCTGAGCCCGAATGCTGGTATTTACATACAAACACTATTTGTGGCCCAATATCTTGTACTTACAAAATAAGTTTTGTCTGGGGGGTTTGGGATCTTCACATCAACAGCCTATGATAGTCCACTGCTGGACATAGGCCTCTCCTCTGAAAGTAGGTTTTGGCCTACTATACCACGCTCGCCAGACTGGTTGGTATAGGATTTGTTTCAAGTTTTCCTTCTCTTTGCAGTGCTGTTGTCTGGCGTAGTTTTCTCCCATAGTCTACTTTTACGACAGCCACGGGATGAATAGGGGTGGTGACATTACGTATTCTTAATCCGTCACCACACGGATATCCGTCAGCACACGGAAAAAAGTTTGAAAAAATTTAGGATCTTACAGTATACTAATTAACTTATTGTGGATTTGCATAGGTATTTCCAAATCGAACTGTGATTTTTGTGGCCAAATTGTAATCACTAAGCAAAAAGAGTACCTAAATAAGTACATAGTCACATTGATTAGATTTATAACTTTAGAAACCAAAATTTACCGCACGTATTAGAATTTATTGTTAAATATTATTGCACTGTACCTAATTTATTTTTAATTTCTAAATTCCTAATAATTCAACACAAAGAATATATATTATTTTTTACAATAATTAACAGTTTTTGTTTTCCCTTATCTTTAAATTATGGAAGGTAGAGGTAAGGAGAACCAACTCTGTACGTGGTAGGTGTCTGTCCAAATGGTTAAACTAAACAGGAGATTTTTTTAAAGAAAGCGTTAAAAGTTGTGGAGTAGGATATAGAAATAAACATTAAAAGAAAAACATTGCGTAAATTTTTATTGGTTTAATAATAATAAGCCAGTGTATACTAGAATGCTAAAATACTCAATAATTCTTACAGACAGTTGATAAACGTGTAATAAATTTTAGATAATAAAAGTATTTAAATGTTTAAATCAGCAAACCACTCCGTCCATAAATGCTGAATTCATGTCATTCCCGTTGGCTACACTAGCGCTATTGTGGTCAGTTGTAGAACTATTCATCATCATGGGGTGCCATCCTCAAAATGAAGTTTGGAGGTCAGCAGACGGTACACCTCTCGATCATGAGCGGCCTCCTAGAACTATTACTTACTATTTTTAACAGGATACTTTTTCAACTTTCCTTCCATATGAGTACGTTCTCCTCACTTCTACCCTCCATACTTTAAATATAGTAAAAAAGCTCTATAAGTATACTCGTAAAGATACAAGCATAAAGTAAATAAAAGTCCCAATCTTACAATATAGGCAACGAGACAGACGGGTAATAGATAGTTCCCTCTATCTTTTTCTAGTCTAGCTTTGTGGTCGGCTGGGGTAATTTCTAATCTGCCGCCTGGTCTGCGATCAAAACCATGCCCACTTCACGATAGCCAATCTCAGCTTAATTAAACAGAGACAGAGGAAATTATCGGGCATGCATCTCTCTCTTTGCCTATATCGCTTCTACTTGTAGGCAGCTGTACCCCGTGTCCTCTCTATCCTTATATCTCTATGTTTAAAAGTATTACGACACAGTTTCAGTTGCCAGATACATTTGTTACTTTATTGTATTTAGCTTTTTCTTTACGTTATTTTTGAATGAACTAATACGTTTCTATATTTTACTATATTATAATTTTTAACTCCCCCCTCGGTGACCATGTGTAGTATGTTCTAAGACCCACCCTCCCTCTACAGTTTTTACGTAGTATTGAATAAATATGGTTTTGAATCATTTGTTGCCAATAAACAGTAAAAAAAATATATTTTTATACTCATCTCTCAGTCACCCAAAATTCATTCCTCTTTTTCTGTTTTGCCAGCATTGATAAGGAATTCTTTTGACATTTAATAAACACATTGTAGAACCGTCGTACAAGGACATTACACTACACTGCACTACAAACTATCAGTTTTTAATCAGCTGATGTCTCGGCAAATGTACGTCAGTGTTTCCACCTGCGAGTTATAACGCGAGATTTCCCTAGAAGATATTGACTACGTGATAAAAACCTAAGCCCCCGCCCCTCATTATGACCAATCGTGATATTTAGAAGATCCCATTCCCCCGCTGAACGGGTCACGCAGTATGGGTGCAATCGAATCACAATGGTGCGTGCTTTTTTGTCTTTTTAAAAACCGTACTCTCTTTTTTTCTAAAGTAGTGGGTTAAGCTGGGCAGAACACATGGCATTGTTTAAATCAATGTTTTAATGGAAATGAAAAAAAAAATAAACGTCTCCTGTTGTATGCCGTTCCAAACTATACCACACTACCTATAACATTTGGCCACACTGGTTTGACAGCAGTGACAGCACTAGTCGAGATTGACTGACGTTTATGTTTGACATACTGTTTGTTGATTGATTGACAAGCGGTGTACGGTCGACACTACGACCGTTGATTCGCGGTCTGTTCTGTGCGTTAAGAGTCGAGTGTAAAAATGATAAATATATGGAACACATTACTAGATATTGTACTAAATAATTAATAAATAATTATTAGTGATAGTAAGGGTTGCGCACTTGGTTCTATCACGTCTTGTAGGCAGGTAGACGCAGTGTCGTAGAAATGAGAGTTTTATATATTTTTTTATTGTATGTGTTCAGTGGCACGATTAACTGTGACCAAGAAGGGGAGCAGGATGCGAACAGGAAGAGGATTATTGAGCAGTTAACGAGAACTCGCACAGTGATACTTGACGATTACGACTTGGTAACTAGACAAATAGCCACAGATGTATTCATGTTTAGAAGTTATCGCACAGTTTCTGTTGTGTTCTACCCTGTTATGAGGGATGTCACGGAGGCTCGCTTTACTTTTCAATCAGAGGACCTTCATCTGAATAACATTGGTAGGTAACACTAACACTTTTGTTTTAAATCTTGGTTTTGCAGTCAGATAACTCCAAAGTATCATAAACTTTACTATTTTATTTTAATATTAATATTAAATATTTGACTACAATGCCATGGTTTTTGATTATTTATCACTTGCATCTTTAATCACCTTTAATGTGTTTAGGTAATTTAAATAAATTACTCATTGATACATTCAATTTAAGTTTTTAATGAACACAACATGCTAAGAACAAAGAATATTCCACATGTCAACAGTAATCTATGTCAAACTTAAAAACCAGAGACCACGAACAAGGGTACATAGTGTGAACATGAAAAAATACTTGATTTTACAATAAATGATGTTTATACTTCAACATATTGTACTATATAGAATAGGACATAAGACTTCACTATTTAAACAGAATCAGTACCTTAGGCAGTCTTACAACAGTCATAAAAATAAAAAGACCTGCAATATTATTGTCTGGTTCTCTTAATTCCTATCTCCATTTTTTTTTAAATAACAAACTTATTATAACTAATAAAAGTCAATTATTTTGTATATAACAGCATCCATGAATCATGTTGTGAGTCATTCAATTAATTGTTTAATTTATCTGTACTCAATAAATTAATTAGTTACGGTGGTCATCTCGTGGCTATGCGGTAACAGAGTAGGTTAACACATTTCAAAGTTAAGAAACCCTAGCCAGTTGTGTCTATAGATGGGTGACCGTTTCTTAACACAGGTCTTTTAAGTAAAAGTAGAAAAAAACTTTTTGAATTTTATATCAGTAGAATAATATTTAAATGTGATTTGTTTTAAATATGGCAATCAATTGATAATTGCATCTACTATTTCTTACATGGGGTATTTCCTCTTCCTGTTTGATTGTCTCATTTTAATAGTATATAATAATGCTGTCTGTATATTACTTAAAATTTGAGGGCTCTCACTCTATAACCTGCTTAAAGACCTTGGATTGCCAAGAGTTCTAAGCTCTTTTCTTTAATAAATAACCAAAGCAACATTGCCTGTTTCATATCAAATATGGTTAGGTAGAGGAGGTAACATAACAAACAGTGAATGCGAAAGCTGACGCGTCACAAGGAGTAGTCCCTAAACCAAGTCCTGTGTCACAAGTCCCAGGCACAATTGCTGTCTGTCTAAAAAATAGATCTAGTAATGTCAGGCATAGGCAGGACAGTCCGATAGTGTAATGTAAACCTTACCTTAACCAATTGAAGCTACCGCATCCTTCGATCACTTCATACAATCTTTCTTCTTTCTTTTCTTTTTTTAAAAGCATTAGGAATATATATCTTGTGACGGGGGGTAGTTTACAAACATACATGAAACGGACACAAAAAACACCCAGACTCAGAACAACAATTTGTGAATCATACAAAGTGGTGTGCCATGTGGGGATCAAACCTACAACACTCAGCGCAGTAGGAAGCGTCGTGGCGACCGCTTAAACCAGACGCCATACGTGTAGTCTGTCCAGCTGTATCCTTTTCATACCGGTGCCTCGATTTCTTAATTACCTTTTGTTCTAATAATGTCCTAATTTTTCCATCTCATTCCAAGTTCCCTGTGGACGGCGATAGCCAAGCCCCAATGATATAAGTGGGACAAAAAATATAAACACAAATGTGTGTGTATGTAGAATACAAATACATAGTATACACCAGATTAGTACATTATACATACAAGAGTACATCAAATTAATGATCATGTACAGATATCGACATTATGGCTAAAAAGCAATTTCTTATAAGCAACCTTTGAATGGACATATCAACTGTAGAGATAGACGAATTAATAGGGAGTTTCGGTGTGAAAAAAAGTAATAGAATCATAAAACATTTATACAGAAAATAGCAATTAAATTCGATAATATAAAATACATACATACATACAAACCTACATAAATACGTAAGTGCATGTATATATATTGCTTTAATTATGTACATATTCTTGTCCTATTTATTATCTGAGTAGCAAACGAGACAGGGCAATCATCTAATCTAAGTTGCCGTTGCATTGATTAGCACAATGCATGCAGCACTCACAATTCTAGCACTTACTGAATGATGCCTTCTAACACCCACTTGATGCATTTTGTAGCCTTGAATGACCTAGCTTTATTACGGTAATATATACGACACTACCAACTGCCCCCGCTGCACGTAAATATCGAAGAATGCCTTCATTTTTTCCTCATAGTTAATATACCTTTTAAAGGGAATAATTCTATTACATATTGTTTTCATATATAAATAACTATTAGTTTAAGCAGCGAATGACACTTTTTCGATTTATACAATATCTTAGTAAATTAAACACATAAAACTTGTTTATAAATTCATTTTTAAATATGTGGTCATTAAACATACATTTACTTATGTATTTTTATTTACTTATCTATATGTTTGGGAATCAACGCTAAGGCAAATTGTCAACGGCCAGTACAATGTGGTCGAAACGATGCTATTCAAAGCTATTTGATCGTGGTTATTTCCGTACACTACATATCATGAAATACGAATCTTTAAAGTACATACTCGTACATTTATTCCGGCTTTAATGATTACTATGCACTTTTAAAGAGTAAAGGAAATATAAATCCTTTTAAATAGTAAACGTAATTTACTTAGGTACTCTGATATTAGAACTAGATGACCCGCGCAGGTTCGTCTGAGTCCCTCAAAAGGAATACATTTCTCCCGTTTTTGCAACATTTTTTATTAATGCTCTTCTCCTGGTGATGGCGTGCTGTTATGTAGCCTATAGTCTCCAACAACTATCAAAACTAAAAGGGTTGTTCAATTCGAACCAGTAGTCTCTGAGATTAGCGCGTTTATTCTAACAAATAAACTCTAACTGTATAATATTAGTAAAGAAATAAACACGGTGTACTTGGCGCTTCTTGGGGTAGGCCTTCTTTCAGCAGTGGGCGGTAATAGGCTTATGATTGGTGTTTAGTAGTTAGAGGACTCATATCCCGGGAACAGCTAGTTCATGTTAAATACAGGTATGCGAACCTCGTGGTGTGCGTGTGATGACGGATTAATAATACCACTCACTCACTGTCACTCCTATTCGTCCCGTGGGTGTGGTAAGAGCCGACTAAGGGAGCAAACTACACAGGTTAAAAGCAATGCAAAGAGAAGTAAAACTGGAAACAAACTCTATACCAACCCGCCTGACCAACTAGGCCTAAACCTCCTTTCTAAATAGAGGCCTACGTCCAGCAGCGGACTATTAAGGGCTGTTGATGATGATGCGACCCTGATCTACTTGACCTATTGCTTACACTACTTAATTTATACTTTCCTGCCCATCTTACAAACGTTTCCGGTCATATTGAATTTCTAATTACGCTATTAAGCTATCCCTATTACGTCAAAATATGATCAATTATTAACCCCTTCGCGGATATAGGCGTGACTGTATGTATGTATGAACATTTTAGTATCAATTGTGTACATAATGGAGTTAGCAACTGCCACTGTCATTCTGTGTGTGTTAATGTTTCTGCTAATTTTAATTAATTCAGAAACACTGCATTTAATAAAAACTTAACAATTAAAAATCTTTTGATATTTTGAAATATATTATTTAGTCATTACATAATTTTATCATACGGGTTTGTTTAACAGTGTTCATTCCATAGTACTATCGGTAAAAAACCAGACCTTGGTACTGACTATTAAAACAAAACCAGTAAAATCTAAAAGTTATCTCCTCTACATCACCCTACAGAAGATACAAGAACTAGTACATATACCCAAATAACACTGCTTGCTGCTCAAGAATGGAGATGCTTCTGACTAGGATCGATTTTTGGCAGAGTTTGGCAATGTCTCATGCCTATTTGCCATCAAGCTAGCTCCGTACTTGTTTGCCACAATCTCCACCTCCCCTCTAGGGCTCGTGATCATCCTCGACAAGATCTATGCGCATAGTGGTGAATATAGTTTCTATTAAAGCATGACTATAAATTATTGGAAGATATATTGATTAAGAATACAGAGTGTCAAAACCCCTATTCATACCGTGGGTGTCGTAAGAGCCGACTAAGGGAGAAAACTACACAGGACAACAGCACTGCAAAGAGAAGGAAAACTTAAAACAAACCCTATACCAACCCGTCTGGCAAGCGTGGTATAGTAGGCCAAAACCTCCATTGTAAGGAGAGGTCTATGTCCAGCAGTGGACTGTTAAGGGCTGTTGATGATGATGATATTGATTACTTCAAAGGGTTTCAGAAGATCTAAATATATTTATCCATAATAATGTACGTATATAATGTACGAACCACATTTGACCTTACGAACATAAGTTGATAAAAAAAAGTTACGGTGGTGAAAATTTTCCAATTTAATATTACTAAGTACAGGGCCAAAAATCGATGCAATAGGAAAGGCCTATGTCCATCAGTAGACTGCGATAGGCTGATGGATGCAAGTACAGAGTACTTTATAATTATTACTAACCAAGGAGAATTAACGCTTTAAGAGGTATTGCGTTGGTAGTTCTCACAAAATAGCCGTCGTGACCATGTCCCGTGGTCGAAACGTAGACATAAGTAAAATTTATGTGATATCTATCAATCACATTAAATATGTATATTCATTATTAACATAATGCAACGCTTAAAAGTTGATATGACTGAAGTACTGTACAAATTTTCGGTAATAATGTTATCAGTTAATTTTATTGATACGGTGAGCTTATATACGAGTGTATGTGATAGATTGCGTGCAGGTGTCAAGTATATACAAATACACATATGTACACATATACGTATCAGTATATAGAAATAGAAGATTCCAATCTAAATATTATATTTTGCAATCTTTTTTCGTATAATAGGCATATTATATATTTCTTTGGTTTTCTCGGGGCACCTATTTTTTTAAAGAGATCTTCCTGTATCTAGTTCTGTAGAAATCAGACTGACGTTCCTCTGCGTAACCCATTTGTCACGTGGAGTTATACTCTACGAACAGCAAATGGTATGTTTGCATCTTTTTACATTATATGGTGTTCAATCCAAACAACTCTACACCAGATCACCAGCGGAGAGAAAAGGTGGGTTTGGAATAAAAACTGTCTGATACGAAAATCGATTGGATTATATGTTCACAATCCAGTTTTCGAAAATATCGGACCGGATCGAATCAAAGCATCAGCGGATTAATGACAATGACAGACTAAATGCATTGATAACGGTTTCTATCTCAATAAAAACAAATACAGCTAGCTGGCAGCATATATTTGTAAAAACGTAAATAAATTATTCAAATCCAAATTCTTTAATGTGATCCTCAAACACGAATCAAAATCGACCTTTAAGTGTGCTTACTTAGTTTGGGTAATAATGTATGGGTCGCTCTCCGAGACATAATATATTCAAAAATTTTTGGAATAATTTAGTTGAATAATTAAAAGTTTACTGGGAAAGACATAAAAAAAGATACTGGTAGTAGTTATTCTTTGAGTTGGCCGCAAAGCTTTGTCTAAAGGTCGAGTCATGTTACACAGGGCCATGTCGCTATATAGCGGCCCGGCCTCGGCGGGAACATCAATCTTCTCTAATTGAATAAAATAATTTTCTGAAATATTTTTGGGCGCTTATTTCTTATACATATTTCTTATTTCTACTTTTGAAAATGACGACCGTCCACACCGTTCATCGATAATTTTACAGTTATTTTTACGTTGGGGTGAATTTTTCGGGCATAACTGTCATAATAGAAGGATTTTTAAAATTCATTTTTTTGTTCGAAAGAGGTTTATTCCGAAATGGTCCCATTTAAATTTCATATAGATCCGATGATGAGTTTCGGAGACAGACTACGGAACTCTTTAAAAAATGACAGCAGTGCCTTTTGTTAGTATTGCTTGAAGTCGGTTCAAAATTTTATAAGTAGGATTTTCTTGTCAAAATTATTTCATAGTGTGTGTGCTTAAAACATAAAAAGCATCAGGTGCCAAAATTTCAAGTCTGAAGCCCCAGCGGTTTAAGCTCTGCGTTGATTAATCAGTCATTCAGTCAGCAATTAATTTTAAATATATGTACAGAAGATTGGTACAGAGAACTGAGATCAGATTGCAACTACTTTATGTCGGCCGCCACCCGCATTGAACAACGTTGTATATATGATTGGTTTAATTCATGTTGTATTAATTTTGTCCGTGTAGTGACGGATTAAGAATACGGAATGTCAATACCCCAATTCATCCCGTGAGTGTCGAAGAGCCGACTAAGGGCGCAAAACACTGCAGGACACCAGCACTGCAAAAAGAAGGAAAACTTGACACAAACCCTATACCAACCCGTCTGGCCAGAGTGGTATAGTAGGCCAAAACCCTCTTTCTAAGGAGAGGCCTATGTCCAGCAGTGGACTATTAAAGGCTGTTGATGTGATGATGTGATGTGATGTATTCATTTGAAGTCTTTCATTAACTTCATTTAAAAATGAATCTGTGTATTAGCTCAGGCTGAAATATTTTAAATTGATATAATATCAAAATAAATGACTAAAACTATTAGTTTAGGCTGATATAATTTCCTCCACTTATGTTATAACTTTGTTTGATGTGGGTGCCGAATATACGAACCGGGTGATTGAGTGAACAAATTAATATCGTAATCCCAAATACGCTTAATTTCATTACTAATGCTGTGAATTACTCGCATACTTGTCATTTACAATTCTATATAATGTTATAGAGTTGCAATAAATCACTTCTTTGGTATCGGTTTTTGTTGAATATTGATTATTATTAATGAAATTCTAAACTATTTGCCTTGATGTATATCTTTAGCGTGAACTATTTCTATATATTTAGAAGGATTTTCTCAATCCATCCAATGGTTAGTCAATCAATGAAAATGGTCGTATACTGTGTAAAATGACAAGAGTAATATTTAAATATGATTTTAAAAAGAACATCTTTATCTAACTGATTACATTTTTATAAAATAAGCAGGGATGTGGAAGTGAGTTTATTTGTTTGTTACGCTTTCACGCTGAACCACTAAACCGATTTTAAAAATTATTTTACCAATGGAAGGCTAGATTATCAGCGAGTAACATATGCTACCTTTTATCGCGATACACGCGGGCGGAGCCGCGGGCAAAGCTAGTAAAGTAGTAAAACAGTAATATAAGTATGTATTTGTAAACTGAGCATGTTTAGGTCACATGTAATATACAAATACTTATACAGGCAACACAGCTGGATACCGTTCAGTTCAGTTTTGCGATCGTTTTTATTTATTTTATATAAGGAAACCTTACAGCTTTTTGTAGGTTACAATTTTAATTTACCAATAAACTTAAGCCAATTACTCTGTAATTGTGGTAAGGTAAGGTACCACGGCAAGTTGTGGTAAGATTCTTTAAAACTCAAACTCTTTAAGTTCAGTTTTTTTGAAACAATTTTCATTTAGGTTAAAATAATACCTACTTTTTTAGTATAGTACTTAAGTAGTTATTCAGTTTCGACTAACAATACAATAAAATGGAATATTTTTCCCTGCCTACGACTGAACTTTATTGTTATTGAGGAATTCTGACCTCTAGTCGACGTTGATCGCTAGTTTAGATTACTTTAATATTTTTACGACAATCTGGGGGTCATAGACTTCTAGACATTTAAAAGGTTAATTATTAGTTCATTATATTTAAGTAGCTTTTTTACAAAATTATCGTATATTAATGTGTATTAAAAATAAAATATAAGGTGATAGGGTCAAGCTCTATAAAAATACAAATGTTTGTTTACTAGAAGCAAAATCTTAATTATACAATTACTAATCATGTCTATGGGTCACCCTAGTTGACAGGCAGGAAATGCCTATGACATTAAATTCGTCTGCAATCTATTTGTAGTAAGTGTAAAAAATAAAAGCGAATAACCTTCTGAATACACAAAATAAAATGGCTATCTTCGTTTAAACGACAAAAATTAATGTAAAACCTAATCCAAAAAATACTACACGATATTAAGGTACTTTAAAACCCAGATGTACGATGGATGGAGCAATAATTGAATATGTCATAATCCTTTCAGAAAGGATGTCCACTTTTAGACATTGGGGAGGTCCATGTTTAAAAGTGGACAATGAATGGTCAATGACTTCTAAGACGATCTTTTAGAAGCAGTCTGCATCCGCCGTCGGCCTGCAATCTTTATTAGGTCATCTGTCCCTTATTGGCGGACATTTTGAGCTATGTTTTCTGGTCTGTGGTCTCCAATCGATAGTATCTATTTGTTCTACCTGTTAAGTGGCTTGCCTACTGTCATATATCCTGGCGAAATCAGACGGTTCACCTGATGGTGAGCAACCAGCGCCGCCCATCTACACATTCGACTCAAGTGACACATCCTTGAGGTCGGAATCAGGGCAGTTAACCCCTGTCAGCGACTCGTTTACTGGGCTGTCTTCTTCGATCATATGCTTTTTTTTTGAAAAACCGAAACGGTCCCTCGTTTCGTATCACAATCATCATAATTTTCCTTGTGTAGAGACTGTTGATAGTACTAGAAAAAAAGATGTAATTTTACAAAGGTATATAATGTATGTTATTCACAGCCTCTAATTCGTCTAATTAAATCTTCGTTTGTTTTTTCGTCTGTCCTTTAGGGGTCCAAAATATAGGTATTCCAAAAACATTAGGAGATGTGAAGACTATTTTTAAATCCTGAGTCTATTTGCTAAATATTAAATTGCAAATAAAAGGATCGGAAAAAAATCCTAATCGTTACTTTTACTACGATTAGGATTTATTCCGGTTTTACATGGATGCAAATCCTGGTTCCATCCTCCAATAGCTGCGTGTAATACATCGTCTGATTTGTATTTTGAGCTGATTAAAATTTACAAATCTGGCGCCAAGTTCCAAATTTTAGTACGTTCTGAGTTATTTCTTATTAAACATGGCAGTTATGGCAACAACCGAAAATCATGGTTTTTTTTACACCAAAACTACCCATGAATTAGTCTATTTACAATCGTTTTGTCCATCCAAACGCTGCCTGTAAGAAATTACATTTTAGCTATAAGATCATATGTACATGTTTATTAATTTAATGTACTCTTGTAAAATAAACAAAGAATTGTTGGTGTACAATAAAGACTATACTATTCTATCACACGTAGCTATTGGAGAGTGGGATCAAATTTCAAGGCATCGTCCTTTAAATCATAGCTAGAAAGAAAAGTGTCACGGCTCAGTTGGCTCTGTTAGGTTAAGAATAATATTCGACCAACTCATAAATATACCTACATGTAAAATAGCCTGTAAAAAATCCTTTGAAAAAATCTTGGATGGTATTTTTACTTATTTAGTAAACTATGGAACCCCTCACTGCATATAGACTGGTCTGTAGGACTTTGTTTTTATTTTCTTTTGCTACTTTATCTAACTATCACATTCTATTTTATAGTCTTATGATAATGAAGCAAGAGAATTATTAAGTTGTAGTAACCTTAATCGTTTAAATCAGCAACTTTCCTGGCTGTCAGATTTTCGAATGACAATTCTTATGCATAATTTTACTGTTCTTTAATTGCAGGATCATGCAGTCCAAGAGAATTAATAGTAAATCTAAAACACGGCGCGTACCCAGCCGTTAATCCCGACGGGTACGACTTTCCTAAGGATTTTATAAAACCGAGCCGAAGGGGGGAGATCCACACGCTGGAACTACTATCGGATGGAAGGAACGTCAGCTATTCGATTGAGAGTCCCCGACCAGGGAACTGGTACGCTCTTATTTATATAAAATGGGAGGATCCGAGAACGCAGAGAGTTGAACAGCAAGGTATGTTTGTTTAATCCATAAATCCAGTTTTTGAGTATTTTAATAAAGTATCTGTTGTGTGACTTTTTTAGTCGTCATAAAAAAGCGACATCGTAATACTTTGAAGTTGTCCGATTGTTTTGAAAAGTGTTTTGTTTTATTTGCGCCAGAATCCCTATCTTAGGACATGTCCAGAAACCAATATGGATGGCCCTTTAAGTAGTCTGGCTTTAAAAGATACAAAAGATAGTCATTTTTTAGTTTAAACTTTTCTTTGCTGTACATATACACAATACTTTCGTGGATTGTAAAGATTTCACTAAGTGTGTCACACATCACATCACACATCAACAGCCTTTAATAGTCCACTGCTGGACATAGGCCTCTCCTTAGAAAGGAGGTTTTGGCCTACTATACCACGCTGGCCAGACGGGTTGGCATAACTAAGTGTGATCTAGTTTATAATTTTGACTTTCGTAGTCCCTTTTGAAATGTTCTGCAGACAATTGACAATAATTTGTTATTTAATAGTTAACATTATGTTGTAATTCAGTAATTCAGTAATTGAGTTATATTTTCATATTCAAGGTAAGTGCATTGTAGATTTGGTGAATGGCAAATCGGTTTAATCTCAACACTCAAGGAAGATTAAACCATTTGAACAATGCAAGTTTTAAACTAATAAACAATTTGCTAATGGACTGTGAATGCCATCCTTAATGTATTCCTTAGTTTTTATCGAATAACTTACTGTTTTAAAATCGTACAGAAGTGGATACAAAAAATGTTCACTTTTAGGTGACAGCGCATCCATAAACTGAACTACGAGAGTTATTCGTATAAGCTGCATACCGTTTCCTGCCGGTTATGAGGCTCTTACCAGCAGTTACTTGACTGTCTTTCCCTACAAGTTCTTTTTAGTGCCATGGCATGTCTTTCTGTCGGAATTTTTTACACACACTACTTACCAATTTTGATTAACCAGATTTCTAATGAAGCAATTCGTTCAATGTTTTATGTTTACTAAAAATAATTTTGTATAATTGATGTTGGGTTTTCTTTTGATCAACTTGTAGTTTATTCGGCCTGACGATGTTTTAAGTGTTTTTTTTTTCGTGTATTTGGCTTGGTTTAAGAAATATTTTAAGATGATTCCCAAAGATATTTGCCTCATTACGTCATTAGCTCCACATTCACCATCACTTTTTCAAATTGGCACGAGAGCTTGCCTATCGGTCTAAAGGCTGATATGTGATGTAAATTGAGGCAAGGCCCAATTTTGAATAGTTTTTCGATATTACAATACCTTCAAATCCTTAAAATGCGTCGAGGCAACTTACTAGAATTTACTAATTAAATGTTCAATTTAAAATTCGAATTGGAATAATGAGTCTATTTATTTTTAAGATTATTCTAGCACTCTCAGTTATCTATCGTGGCCAGTAAACAAACATGCGATATCTATACTGCCATATTTATATTATAAATGTGAAAGTGCCACGCCTAAAGCACTAAACCGATTTTAAAAATCCTTTTTTATTTTCAACTACCAATTTAGGCTACTTTCTACTTTCACATATATATGTACTTATATATGTGTATCTATGTATAACAACACAGGCCAACATTTTTTTTTACCCAGAAACCTGCTTTTTAGTAGGATATTGGTGCGCTGAATCCAGCAGAATTGCTCTATCACGTCAGGTTTTTGGGATATACTAACCTAAAAGTGCAAAAAAACGCATTTTTGCCCATTTTTATGTATGTAACTCTTCAAATTTTATTATGCTTAAGAAAGTACACAGGTACCAGTAGCAGGGTTCAAGTCTTCAGCTTTCAAATGACGTTGAGTTTACTCAAATATCATTTTTTTTCGCCTCAAAAACAATTGATTGATATATTTCAATCGATATATTTGAGCAAACTCAACGTCATTTGAAAGCTATAGATTTGAACTTTGAGATACCCTGTGTAAATTGTACTGTGTACTTTTTACCCGGGCCGAATTTGGGTTCAGTGCATCAAAATCCTTCGGGAAAGTATACGCTGGTTTTTAGGAACGAAACTTTGTCAAATTTTGTGAGCCTTTGTAATTTATCTATAATATGTATGTATTTAAAAATATATAAGTGTGTTTATCAGCAGTCTGGTTACCATAGTACAGGCTCTGCCTAGTTTAGGATCCGACGGCCGTGTGTGAGATATATTACTAAATACGTATATTGGGTTTAATCCTCCCCTAAAACAATCTCTACGAGTATGATCAGTATGATCCTTCACATTTTTTTTATGCTATCTGTATTTATAAATTATTATCTGACCGTTGTTTTTTTAAAACATTATGTAGTGTTTTAATACTGATTATGCATAGATACAATACTTACATATCAGGCCAGGTTTAGTTTTATATCTTCGATAAGATATAGGTTAGAAAAGATATTCTAAAAGGAATGGAAACGCTCCATTTGAAAGAAGAACTAAATGTTTTATCGTGCTGGTTAAAAGGACAGCCAAAAACCCTCGAATAAAGTATAGTAATGGTCATTATAATAGATGTTTTTTTCAGTTATACAAGTTACAGTTATACAATAGTATGATGCCATTGTTCATCTTTGAATAGAGGTGAGGTGAGCCGGGTCATTTGTAACGCATTTGTATCGACGAGTCTCTAAATGTTACAATGAAAAGCATTTGGTTAATTCTGGCCTTTATATACGTAATATGTACTTACGTCCATGTGGTGATGGATTAAGAATACGGAGTGTCACTATTCATCCCGTAGGTGTCATAAGAGCCGACTAAAGAAGCAAACTACGTAGGATAACAGCTCTGCAAAGAGAAGGAAAACTTTACACAAACCCTATAACAACCCGTCTGGGCAGGGTGGATAGTAGGCCAAAACCTCCATTGTAATGAGAGGCCTATGTCCAGCAGTGGACTATTAGTCTAAAGCCTGTTGATGTGATGTGTATAAAAATCATGTAGATCATAATATTTTCATTTATACATTTTCGACAAATAAAATACTGTTTACTGTACATTAGTGTAGTAATTTATAAACATTTACCGCAACAATTGAGCACAAGTGCATACAAGAGCAAATTAAAAGAATGTTTGAAAATGAAAGCATACTATTCTGTAACTGAGTTTTTAACGGAAAAAATATAATTGAATGCATGTTGTAATAAGTACAATATACTCGTACAACCTACTATTAATACAGTTTTAATAAATATAATTATTATTTATTACGATTATGTTTATTTTTAGGTATGTGTTTTTTTCTTTTTAAATAATATTATTGTAATTGATATTGACATGAAAATAGAATTCTGACCTCTTATGACCATGATGATGATGTGAATTTTATTGCACGCTTAAAGGTAGGATATGACAGAACATTTTTAAAGTGTAACACCTAATTGTAAACCCATGTTCACAATGAAAATAGATTGATTAATTGACTGATTGATACCCTAAACACAATTTCTTCCAGATTTGCAAAATATTATATGTGGCCTTTTATATTATCACGACAGCATAATATACAAAAGGCACCATTGTACAACATACTAAGTAACGTGTACAATGTAGACGATAACGAACATAGACTCTGGACAGTGTTATCAGTTTAACAGATGTGTCACAACGCCTGTCCGCAGTGGTTGATTGATGACCTCCATATGGGGAGCGTTCTAATCGTGATGAATTAATACTAGTTTCCCATCATAAAATACCACAGTAGTGGACCAGCTTATAATAATAATAATGAAGCTTATGAACTATCGTAAACCATCATAATCAGGAGAGTTAAATACCTGTTCATTACACACCTTACACACATACGCATTAATAATAATGGTAACCCTAATAAAACCACAAGAGATATAAAACAATATATTTTAATATTTGTGAGTTATGAAATAAATTATAAGTTTTAAATTTTATCTGTTAAGCTTAAAAAGTTTAAATTATGATAAGGGGGCGTCCATTAATTACGTAAGGGGGTTTCGGCAATTGTCTGATCCCCCCGCTCTCCCTCTGGTAAAATGTCGTGAGATTTGATTGAACCTCTTCCCCCATCTTCCAACCTCACGTGAGATTAAAAAAAATGTTTTTAGTGTAAAGGCTGGCTGTGGCCCGTAAATAAACGACGGCTTACTGTGCAATTACGTGCATAATACCATGATACATATTATTGTATAACACTTAGCCATATTTCCGTGGAGAAACATGTTTTACTTAATTTAACCCAGTTTTTTCGCAATTTTAATCCGTTTCGGCTCGACCCCCCCCCCCCCCCCCCCTCCTGAACACCTCACGTAATGAATGGACGCCCTCTAAGTATGCCGAAAACTTACTTCAAATGGCCTGTTGATCTAGTGGTAAGCAGGTAGTGGCTTCGATTGCCACACAGGACAAATAATTGTACGATGAGCACGTTTTTTTGCACGAGCCCCAGTGGGGGGTGGTGAAGGGGACTGTCGGACTCTTACCAACTAAAAACCACTTCGGTGTTCCTCTCCTTGCCAATTGCCGGAGGAGCGAGAATCGCAATTGCATTCTTCCGCCACCCCTTGACAGGCGTTCACCCGTCTCACCCAAGACGGGTCTGAAATATATTAGTCACTATATTAAACAAAACGGTCTCTAAATATGAATCATCATATCTTTGTTAATATAAATAGTATGTATCTTAAATTATAAAATGATCAGTGCTTTTTACAAGGTTTATCATCTAAATATCTTAAGTGATAAATCTGTCACCCAGTAAGTAGATCAGTTAAAAAATCTTATTGATCTATTGTAAATTTTTTGACTATTTTTATCAGAATTTTATATCTAAGAAAAAGAGAATCATTTCTGTTTTTTTGCAAAATTAAAAGAATCGTTTATCAAATACATGCCTCGATATTATGTACTATAGTTAAACCGCCGTAAGCTTGGCCCTCCTGATGATTTGCGGGACGCGGGGCGGGTGATGCGCTCGGCTATACATGACACGATGTACTAACTCGATATCTTCAGATTTATTTGTTTGAGATTTAATCTACACACGATGTAATAAAAATCGAATTTATTTCCATGTATTATAATGTCAGTGTATTGTAAGTTTTTATGATTAATTGTAAAATTTAAAACTGTAAAATAATTTTAATAAAATCGCCTTATCTTCATCATGTAAATTATATTCAGATACAATTTAAAAATTAAGTAAAATAATAAATATTCTTTATTAGAACTTTAACAGTAGAATCTCTGTAAGCCGAACTTCAAGTTTTTAAATCTTTTTGTGACGCAGAGTCGGCAGATTATCCATGTTGCAAAATAATACTGTGTGTAGCAGTCTTAAGAAAAATGACACGTACAGCCATGCTTTCACGTCAGTCACTGCCGGCGGACAGCGACGCACTAGCTAATTGGTTGAATGCACCCCCGCCCCGCGTCCCCAAAACCATCAGGAGGGCCAAGCTTACGGCGGTTTAACTATAGCGACAAAAATACTAACTAAGTAGACTTCTTTACGTTGTTTGGTGATTCAATTTTGGTGACACTTCTATTATTTGGAAACCCATTACAATTATTTAATAACTGATATTATTTCCAAGTAATTCTTAAGTAGTACATGTTTAGGTCGTTTTGATATTACTTGGTGATTGAATTTAAGAGATCTACTATTTTAGGAACACATTTTCTTTATTAGATCATTGAAAATACATCAAATTTCACGTGTATGTAGTTGTGTGCAGATTATAGTTGAAAAATAGATAAATGGTTCAAGGTTCTTGAACGTTTTTATTTCTGAACGTACCTGTAATACCGGCCAACGGGTACAAGGTTTGATAAATGTGAAAAAGGCGCGAGCTACATATCAGGATCGTGAAAAATGTCGTTCTGGTGTCTCTGCCCAGTCTAGACGGGAATGACGCGTGAATGTTCCCGAATATATAGGAAGATAGAAACCAAAGAGAAGTAAAACTTGACACAAACCCTATACCCAATGCCGTTTGGCCAGCGTGGTATGGCAGGTCAAAACCTTCTTTCAAAGGAGCGGCCTATTTGCAGCAGTGGGCTGTTAAAGGCTGTTTATGATTCCTATATGTACATATATATGTATTTCTGTTAGTAGAGAACGGTAAACTGTTTCCTTGTAGATTAATAATATCATTGTATTTTAATAAACTCTTTTCACGTTAGCAATAAAGAATATAATAAACTTTATGATATTGCTAAAAGCAATTTCTTAGGCAAGTCGTGTACACAGTAAGCTCGAATCTGCTATCCAATGTTTTAGCAAGCTTGCTTTTAATATTTTTTATAAAGGAAACACTACTTAATAACTTGTAATTATATTTGATAATCGTCTGTTAACTGAAAAGCCTCTATGGGTGTTAGCCGAGCTTATTTTTTTTTTTGTTTTGTTATTTAGGTATCGATAGTGTGCATTTATAATGGTAGTATGAATCTTATCTTAAATCCTGAGCATAATTACCGCCATTATGCTTAAGTTTTATAAATGTGTATATATTAAATTATTTTGGCAAAACCCAATGTGTTATGACATTTAAATTTACACTTAACTTTACTTATTACGTTGTTATTTCATTTGTAAGACTAGTAAAATTTCCGTTATTAATCTACAATATAATTACATAAAAATATTACTTGGATATGCTGAGAGATATAAACAACCTATAGACATATCAGAATTTACTATGAATAATCCACAAAAAAAAAGAAAGTATTTATGACTTATTAATTTTATGAAATAAAATTCATATCTCAGATTCATTCTCTAGATGTTGTCGTTTTTTTTTAATTTACTGTTCTTAAGTTCAAAATTATAATTGCACGCAAGGTACACAGCCTTGCCAAGTGAGAATACTCATAATTATATTGTACTAAAAATAACTCAAAACGCAGATTACCGCTACATCTTGTGAGACTGTTAAATCCATCCATGTAATGTTACATAATTGCAATTCTTGCAAGTTTGTAGTCAAGTAGGTTTAGGATGATTCAAGTGATCAGTGACACTTATGAATATTTTACTATAAATAGATTCTATGTTTGTACAGACAACTTCTTACTATCAATTAATTCCAATGCAACCGCAGTTCGCTTCTAATATAAAAAGAATAGGTTCTATGAATAACTCATTTAATATAATGATACCAATTACAAATATTCTATACCTTCTCAGAAATGTTTAGTAAATATGTTAAGTAGGCATTCGCTATAATTTGTATATTAACAGTAATCGTTTTTAAATTACAGGTCTTGTACCGAACTGTCAAACGATACTCTACACGGATTTACAAGTAAAACGAAAAGAGAAAATAGAACTAGTAGATTGTTATACGGGCATAACGATAGACTATAATGCTCTACCCACACTCTTCAAGTGCATAACAGTGGATTCGGTAGACGCAATCACTGTGGATGTAAAGATCGCCAACACGACTTCAGACCACCAAAAACTTTATTTTAGAATTGATGCCTTGTCTATTCCTACGGAAGAAAATTATCTCATATATTGCGCCTTTGATCCCGTATCTAATAATACACAGACAATAACTTTTACTCCCAATCCAGGAGCCTGGCATTATATTCAAGTAGGAAAAGTCGAAGGGAACGCTTCGACGCTGGCTGACTGCGAATCCTATTACTTGGGAACAGACCTTGAGGAGGAGCTAACCAATCATACGGTAGCCGACCTCATGCGTGATGACAAAGGTCGATTTTTTGCTTTCGATTACGGCCTTCCTTCAGGCGATTTGCAAGACGCGACAAGTCTAATTAACATAACTTCCTCAGAAATAAAAACATTGAGATTTAAAGTGAACCAGTTTTTGGATATTGGCGGCACTTTATCAATAGCAGCGAGCCTTTTAATGAACTTGAAGTACTACATGGGATACAAAAGAGAGCTAGAAAAGCAAACTCTGTTAGCATTTACGGAGGACAACCAGTTCTTCAAGGCCGTGATATGTATGGACATTGGTCATCCGAGCATTCCATTACAGAGTGGTCACTGCAAATACAACGATAAGGTGAAGCCGGCATTGTTCGTTCTAAACAGTACAGACTCTGAGTCTATTTATGACAAGACGTACATCCCGTTTCCGGACAATGGGGTGTGGTATTTAACTTTTAGGATATTCTGTGATGAAGTAGTGTGTCCCTGTAAGACAGAGAACAACGGGTCCACATACTACGTAGATACTTCTTTAGATAAAGACGACGATTCTGTTGTTATTTCCTCTGAGGGTAATAACACGAGGCCGGGTACTTCAGAGTGTAATGCGACTATAGTGCTGACGATATCGTCCATGTCCTGTGTGAACGGCAGATGCAGTAATCACGGCAACTGTCAGCTTAATACTTTTGGTGGTTTGGTGATGTCCTATTGTTCCTGTGCTGCTGGTTATGGAAGTAAGTCGAATTTTTGAACTCCTACAACTGTTTCTGCAATGCAAGTGATAGGTATTAATCGCTGAATACTTTATGTTGATCTACATTTAGTCGGGGATAGGAAGTCTGCAGAGTTGCTCGACCAAAAATTCTACGTGCCGTGTCTGAAAGCAGCCGGTGAACGAGATGAGATTTTGTACTCTCTCTGTGGGGGTAATTTTATCGTATAAATAACCTATGGTTTTGCATATCATCACCATAATTTGATAAGTATATGACATTTGAATGGCCAGAATTAATCTTTGAATATGAATGAATAAGTTTGGTTTTATTTGTTTATCAAAATATATATTCACAGACTAAAAATTCATTATAATTTTAATAGTCATTTAATATAAGACTATTGTTACTAACAAATTGGACATCATGGTCTGCAAAAAAGAATTATTATTATATATCCTACATAATTTGCTTTTTCTTTAATAAAGGTTGTGATTTTTTCAGGTTGGGATTGCTCAGACAGCTCAAGAATGGATAGCATAGTGTACATGCTGGTATCTGTTCTCCTTCTCACATTAAGTAATCTTCTCTTTATCCTCTCGATCTACGTGGCGATCATTCGTTATTATTACACGGAAGCTATGATGTATGCCTTCACCATGGTATTCTCCACTTTCTACCACGCTTGCGATGCACCAGCCCAAGTCGCGTACTGCATCGTCCGAGGTAATATTCTGCAGTTCGGTGACTTCTACTGCGGGATTATGTCTTTTTATGTAACATTATTAGCTATGAGCATCATAGGAGATAAAATGAAATCTTCCCTCCAACTTACAGGCGCTATTGTGATAGCACTTCTAACTACGTGGAATATGTACTCTTTTATATCTTTTATATCTCCAGTAGCTGTAGGAGCAACAATTTTATTCACATCCTGGTATTTGGATTATAGAAAAAATCGTACAATGAGGTATCCAAAGAATTATTATTTCAGGTATATGCCGTTAGGTTTAATTTTAGTGTCGGTAGGTTTAATTTGTTTCGCTTTTTTGCAAACTGAACAAAATTATAAGATAGTACATTCTATTTGGCATATGATTATTGCCTTAAGTGTGGTGTTCCTTTTACCTGATGTGAGACGCGATGTCAACGTGAACGCATTCACGCCTAGTCCAATGGATTTGAAGTCCAGTTTTTATAAATATTTCCATAGATCTCAGCCAGCTATAGCGGCAGACTAATAAAAAAAGCTATACCTAAATAATTATATGCACAAAACGTAGCGTGCATTTGACTCGTGAGATATAGAATACAAATATAATTGAGGTGCAAATATTTTTTATATAGGTAGATGTAAGTACAGGTAATTTTTACTAGTCGTATAGAAAGTACAGGTTTGTTTTATACAGGTGTGAAGTCAATGCTAGAACATTTCAGACATATTTTAGTAGATAGGTTAAAAATAATAATAACAATTACGTAAATGGAGTCCAAAATATGATATACAATAATAACGAGAACTATCCAATTCCTATTTTTAAGATTAAACTTTTTTTTAATGAACTGAACTTTTGGCAACGGAAGTATCTAGTGAAGGTTCAGCTATGCAGTTCTATGATAAGTAGATGGTCTTGTTTTTGGTGTCTTGCAAAAAAATTCATTGTACTTTAGGTGTACAAATTGCCCTTGTAATCACTTTTATACCACATAATACATAAACAAGGCTCCTGATAGGCAACAGGCATTTGCATTGATAATTATTCCAAGGTTTCAATATAAAATAATATTTAAGGAGTGATTTTTAAACAGAATTTTTTAGCTAAGAAGTATTGCCAGGCTAACTGTTTAAAGAACTTATATATTTTGCATGTTTCGAGATGACTGCATGAGAATGACGCACAGCATGGACCAAACCTACTAAACCTTAAAGTCTAAGTTTTTTCGTAAAAATAGGTTATTTTCAATCAAACGATTCCAGAACCGGTCACAAAATTGGCATTTGTCACTTACGCTTTTTTATTTGCACGCCACAACACTGGCAGCTTGTACTTACTACTCTATGCATACCACTCTTCTATTTTACTTTCTTGGATACCTGTGACTAGAAGAATTCAATTCAATCCGTAAAATGTTAGTGGTTTAATATGATAATCTCCACAGATGCGCTAGAACAGAGTAGTATGAGCGTCATCCGGTCTTTTGCTATTTAAAATACAATATAGGATCTAAATAACGAACGAATGATTTATTGTCTTTTAATGTACGGTTTGAATTAACGAATAGAGAACACTTAGTCGGGAATACAAAAACTGTAGATAAGGAAACCGTGAACGATAAGTTTTTTTTTTCAAACGACGAACAAACATTAACTGGAAGACAGACAGGCATATTTTAGTTATATCCGTTATATCCGAGTCGATGTGACTAAAACCATAGATAATCAGAATTATTGCCGGGAAAAGTGCTCAGAACTGTTCTAAATAAAATGGACTGCCGATTTGGAGCACTCTTTACTGCTTTTTATATTACATTTACGATCCTGGCACTTCAGAAGTGGCTCACGGGGATGATTTTTATTCAGATTCAGATTGTTTATTTGCATAACACATAACACAACGCATAACACAAATATTAATTACATGGTATTCAATTCACGAACAGGTTCACTGTGCTTCACCGCTATACATTTTTTTATGTTACGGGGGCAGACGACCAGACGGGACAGACATGCATATAATTTAAACATAATAACTTATACATTATTAGCATCATTGATTACTATAGAAAGATTCTACAATGTCAAAAATTCAAAGTCAAACTACCTACTTAATGTCAGAAAGAATAAACAAGAATTAAAAAGAATAAACAACACATACTACAAATTTTCAGTGATAAAGTCAAATACATAATAATAATAAAAAATGAGCTCCTTTTTTAATTGAGAGTTCAATGTACTTATATCTTGTGCTTGTAAGTTTTTACAATTTATTAAAGATTACTGCAGCCATGTGAAAGATGCTTTTATGTATCAGCACAGTATTGGCTTTCGTGATACATAGCCTGCTTTCGTCTCTTTGAGGTCGGATATATTTTGTTGATGTCAAAACAAACAGATTAGGGTTCTGTTTTACAAACACAGCTACCTTGTATATAAAGAGCGACGGCAGCGTTAATTTATTGTATTATTTGAAGAAAGGTACACAACTCTCGATAGTATACGAAGGATGTTTGGCATGATTCATGCCAAACATCGTTCGTATACACCGTTTCTGGATCTTAAATATTATGTCCCTATCGGTAGAATTTCCCCAAAAAATTATACCATACCTAAGTACTGAGGATACCATACAATGATTCGCGGTCACAAGAGTATTAGTGCCAACTATTTGGGCAAGTTCGTGTAGTGCACAGACAGACCCACTGACTTTTTTACATAATTGTTCAATAGTTTCCTGTTGAATTTATGGTCAATGATAGGTCCGAGAAATTGAGCCGTTTCTACTTCATTTATATTTTGATTTCCAAAACCTATGTTTAAACAAGTTGAGCCTGGGATACCCTGTTTAAAGTTCATTATTTTCGTTTTTGTCAGGTTTGCTTTGAGGTTGTTCCTATCTAGAAATTTTATTATTGAAAATTTTATTTACTATAAATATGAGTCCCGGCTTACGTAAAAAACTATTGTGACAACTGAATTAAATCTGTAGTAACAAATTTGTGCGTGCCTAAAGTAGTATGTTAGTAACAGCATAGTTTAGATTCCTATAGAGTATGCTAAGATGATGATGATGAGATGGTCTGTTCGCAATCTGGTGTCGAGCACGATTTGAAACACACAATTTTAGCTCACTGTTTTGAAACGTTTTTAATTCTATTTTACTTAATATTTATTGTATTGCTTTGTTAAACATTATTTCTTGTATTCATTTTTGTTTATAATTAATTTGAAGTTGGAGATGCCGTTATTTTTAACTTACAACATTAGAATTTCTGTGAATAGTTTTGGACACCAAGTCAATTATATATCAAACTTACTTCTACTTGCGGCTTTGCTTGCGTAAATGAATGAACGATAGGACATCGTCGCATAAGATATGCACAACCATTAATTTTCACCAATAATATTTTATATATTTGTGAAAAGAGTGTGGAGAAAAAATTTACTGGTGACGCTCCTAACTTTCCAATATTTTCTTAAAGGTGTGTGGAAATATTGTAAAAAAATTTAATTCATTTGATTTAGGGATGTCATGTAGAGGGAATAGGATAAAGTTGTCAATAAAATTTGAAAAGTAAAGCCTCTTTAGACTCGAGCCATCGGTAATGCTGATGTGGTTATTCGAAGGTTAGTGACGCTTGAAAATAAGTAAGGAAATACGTTGTTAAGATCGCTTGACTATCTTTTTTACATTACTGCATTAAATAAAAACCACGTTCATTTATTTAAAGTAAATTTTTGGGTAAACTCTAAAGCAAAGCACTGCGTTACTTGCTTTCTTTAGTAGGTTTATCCAAAAATATTACTAAAACTTCACTGCATAGCGAGGCTTTAAAATGATGAATGAATGAATAAAGAGTAAGAGAAGAAAGTCAATTAGTATTTTCTCTTCTGTGAAATTTGAAATTAGAATTTTACTAAAGAAGAAGGAATAGTATGCATATTTTTTTTACTTATAATTATATATAACATAGGTTACCATATAAAGTTTGTTTTATTACTGCAATAAACGCTCATTGGTGCAATTTAAATGTATTTATAACCTGTGTCCACAATACCAATTGTAAATACTATATATGGTGCCTTATATTGTCCACATTCTATTTAACAAAGAAATTAGAAGTTTTGTGCCATTGTATTTAGACTTTCGAACAAATACTAACATGACTTTGTACATTTATATTAGGCTAGTAACTATACAAATATATAATAAGTCAGTCAGAATAAATGATACTTGTAGATAAACCGTTAAATGAGTTCTCGCCTGCGGGGCACGGGGGCGCGGAGGTAGGACGAGAACGGGGACCGGGAGAGGTGCGGTCGGCAGGCGGATTATTATCACGCTTCGACCGCCGTTGTACCCCGCAGGCGAGGACTTAATTAAGCGGTTTATCTATAAACTAACTAGTAGTTGTAAAATTAAATAACGTTCCATTCAATAGTTTTATTTGTATGTATTTTTGTCAGAAGCGTGTTTGTTATTTGCACTAAATTGATATTAATTTAAGGATATAAAATAAATGTTACCAGCTATAGATTGCCAGTTAAGAGCTCACGCTATATAGCAATTATGTCTATAAAACCATCGCCTTATATGCTCATAATTTTGCGTGACTGTATGTAATAAATGCATGTGTTTGTACTCACATGTGTATTTCAGAGGCTCCGACTAGTTTGGGGCCTAACAAGGTCTCTTTATCAAAGAATGAACCGACCTCTCACATCGGTATCAGACTACCTATGGTTCTTTTTTCTTTTTTTTATATGTCACTCATCCTCTAACCTAAAATTGATCTTTATCTCAGTTGTCTGTAATATAAATAACTGTGCGAGTGTAAACGTACTCGTATGGTAACTGAAAAGTGATGTACTTACTGATGCTCCAGTAATTTATAAAATAAAAGTTTAAAATAATATTTTTATCAGAATGCGTATTCTGTATTAAAACTTTGTTTTAGAGGACGTGTCATATTAACATCGGTGCATTAGTACCAAAAATAAAGTGCGATTTAAATTCAAATAATAAATAAGGCATCTCAAATAAAAACACAAAATGGTAAATCACGTTTTCATCGTACAGTTATTAATAACATTATTTTTAAGAAGGCAGTAGGTATATGTTACTAAGTCCTATGATGCACTTTGAGTAGGTATATAAATATGTTTGAATTTGTTGTGTAAGTAATATTGAAATATTGATCAAATGCTTAAATAGTCAATTTATATGATTTATATATTATGTATGTATTACTATGTATTACAGATGTTATACGTACATAGCTTTAAAAAATTGTTGCTCTTTTAAACATTCCTAGAAAAATTATATTGGTGCCGAAATATTTGCCATGTATTTAAAATATTGTTAAAATCTTATTTAAATTACTTCTGAGTCGAACCACATGTTAGTATTGACCGAGAATACATAATAATACAGGTACAGAAGACTCACTCCGCAAAATAATTTTAGGAAATAGCGACTTGCCTCGCTATAATAAAGTCTAATTCAGGTCGCACAGCAAGTAA